CTTGGCTGCGGTTTGCACACGCACTGGTGCTGGTCTGTGCTCTGGTTCCTGGACAGGCTGCACCAGCGGCTGCTCCCTGCTGGGTCAGTGGGTAAGAAAAGTGCCCTAAGGCTCATCTGCCTCGTGAGGAACGGAGCATGGGTTCTGGGGCTGGACCTGCTGCGGGGTTCAGAGCACGGGAGCCTCTGTGGATCTGCTCCCCGCGTGCCGGGTGTTCCTGGGGGGTGTCGCGCGTGTGCCGAGGTGGGAAGAGCATCCTGCTGGTCCCGCTCTGTCTGTGCTTCCAGACTATGTCACTGCGAGAGGCACAGGGAGAGAGGGAAAGTTAACCTTTGGGTTTGAGAAGTTTCCCATCTTCTTTTCCCAGCGGTACCAAAACGCTCTGGAGTGTGGCTGTAAGAATTGTCTTCCTTGGAGAGCTCCGCTAGGCTCCTCCATGACCCAGCTGCAGGACGTTCCCCTCTGCGGGGCGCTCTGTCTGTCTCTCACATCCTACTTCACCCATCAGGGTGGTGCTGGCAGCGCCGTCCTGAGATCTGCTCGACCTTCGTATTTCTCTGCTGACCGTTTTTTCTGTGATTTTTCAGTATCAGGTTAGAGTGATCCCTCCTCCTGGGCCTTTAGTTCTTTGCTCTTCTCCGCCTCAGTCATGGTTCGTGACCTGTCCTTGATGGTTGTGTGATGCAGCTCACACCTGAGGCGCAGGAAGGTCAGCCTGTGTCGAACTTTGCTTGTTGTGATTTTCTCCCCAGGTTCTAGTTTGGGTTTTTGTCTGTTTTCTCGTGCTCTGTGCGGCCGCGGGGTTCCCGCCCGCTCTAGAGGAACGCGCACCTCTGCTTCGCTCGGGTGGCTTTGCTGGTGTGCGGCTTCCCCTTGGACCAGCTCCTGCCGGGCGGCGAGGCCAGAGCTGGAGGAATGCTGCTTAGCTGCTGAGTGTTTCAGTTTTAATTTCTTTTCTTGCTGCTGAAATTGTTCTTCCCTGCGGGACGAAACATCCAGCAGCTTTCAGCCAGCGCTGGGATTGCTCCTGAAGGGCTTGTCCTGCTCTGCGCTCTTCTGGCCTCACCCCTGAGTGCAGGTGGTTTCTGTGTCAGCAGGTGAGATGCTGCTTCAGAGTGAGCGGGATTGCAGGGTGTCATGGAATTCAGAGCTCCAGAATGAGTAAAACGGTGGGTGCAGGTGAGAGGGGTGGAGGAGCAGAAGGCAGCTAAAGAGCTCTGGATCTGAGGAAATGAGATTCCCTCCCGGGAGGGCGCTGCTGGCCGAAAGGTAGAGCAAGGGTGGGAAGAGCAGGCTTGGCTGCCTCCCTCCTGCGCGGGTCGGCGCTGCCGCGGCTGGCAGAGGCCGGGGAAGCCCGTGCCCTCCCGTGTCCTTTTTGGAGACGTGCATCCTCGTCCTCTGGGCAGTGACACTTGGAATGGTCAGACTGGGGCTGTGCCCATGCCCCAGCGAGGGTGCTGAGTGGCGCGTGGCGGGTCAGTGGGGTGGGTGCTGTGCCTGGCTTCCGGGAGGAGGGTGGCTTGTCCCACCGCTCCGACCTGCTCCAGCTTCCCCTCTGGCGGGGCAGGGGTGGCTCGGGCGCGGGTCGGGGAGCTCCCCCGCACCGGGCTGAGGAGCGCAGCGGGCTGGCTCTGGATCTCCTCCTTCCTCCTTGGGGCAGGGGTGGCGGTGGCGCTCAGACGGGCTGGGTGATGGGTGCTGTGCGCCTCCGCGCTCTGATTTTAATCCGTCGCTGCAAATGTGTTGGTCTTCTCAGCTCCCCTCAGCACAACCCAAAATAATTGCTTTTCTCGTACATCAGTTTGTGTTGGTCTCCTCTAAATGCCTAATCTGTGCCCTCGCTTCATCAAGAAGTTGTTCTCCCTTGGTGCCAAACCTGGCGTGGAAGATTTCAGGCACCGTGCCACCAATTCAGCACCAAGTGTCTGGCAGAGTGGGAAAACGAACCCCTTGCAACAAAAAACCACAATTAAACAGCACCTGGCAGCTTGTACAAAGCTCAGGAATCCATAAACTTTATGTGCTGCTGCAAAACAGTTGCAGATGGTCTAAACTGATGATTAAATATTGCTGCTGTTCTGCCCAGAAAGACTGTGCCCAGATCCTCTGCGCCTTGTCTCTGATTGCGGAGGGTAATTAAGGGGACAAAGCCAACTCTCTTTCTTTTCCAGAGATCTCTCCCAAGTGTCTTGGGAGGGAATAAGGGAGATTATTGTAATTCTCATTAAGTGCAGATTTCACCACCGCGAGTGATCATTACAAATCGCTAATTTTTTAATGGAATATTAGTAAAATCACCTAACAAAAGAAGCAGTAAATAACGGGACGGGTCTGGGCTGGGTGATCTCGTGGCCGTTTGCACGGCTGAGCGCCGTTCATGGTGGGAAGGGTCTCCAGGTAACAGTTCCTGCTGTGGGTGCGTCCGAGGGCAGAGGACGTACGGCCTCGTCGCCCTGGTGGCTCCGTCCTGCCTGTGGGTTCGGGCGAGGAGCTGGCGCCAGCTCAGCCACGGGGCCGGGCTCCACTTGGGGGTGCAGACCCTCGCTGCGGGCCATGGGCTGGGCGCCGATGGGGTTGCAGGTGAATCTTTAAGCTAAAGAAAAGCTGCTTTTCCGTGGGTGCCACCGAACCGGCGTGTGTGTAGAGCCTGTCAAGGACGATGCCTGCCCTGCGCAGCTCCCCGCAGGGCGGGTGGGAGCTTTCCCGGAGAGGGCAGGGGTTCGTGCTCTCCGAAAGCAGTCGTCTGTATCTGTGAAGTGCAGTGCGCCTCTTCCGTTTCATTTGCCTCGGTTTGTGTGATTTTGGGGCTCTTGGGACCTCCTGAGATTTCTGGATTTTCCTGGTACCAGTTCATCCAGGTTTTAATGCGCAGCTCCCGCACCATCTGGAAGCGTCGTGCTTCAGGAAGGAAAAACAACAAAAGTAAGGTTGGTAGCAGCCTGGTTTATCACAAACGTTAGGAACAAAATGAAGAAGTTAGTGAAGATACCTCTGGAGATTTGGGGCTGGCTTCCAGGAGTCCTAAAGTGACAGCTAACACGTAGCTTTCCGCAGCGGCTCTGCCGAGCAGGCTGCAGCCGCCTGAGGTGTGGTCACGGAAGGAGCTGCATCGCTTATGAAGATTCATTTCAGATTTCATTAACAAATAATTTCTGAGCTTCACGGTAACAAGGTTACCTACAAAGCAGATGTCTTGGTAACGTGACTCTCCATTACTGAGACTTCTCTGAACCTTCCTGGTGTTTGGGGAAGGCTGGAAGCCATCAGGGGCTGAAACATCACGTTTTTGGGTTCTGCGGGGTACTCAGTCCTGGCACGAACGTGCAGTCCCTGCCCCGAGGGGGGCGGGCAGGGGGCAGGTGCCCTCGCCCTCGTCGTTACTGCTGCCGGGCCCAGGGGCGGGCGCTGCGTTGCGTCGCCGGGCACCAGCAGGGCCCGAGTCTGGCGAGTGTCCCTGGGGGGCTCTGCCGCCGCAGCCCGGCCCCGGCTGGCACGCCGCGGGGGTCAGCGAACGCCCGGAGCGAGTGTGGCTGGAGACGGGTGGAGATGCGGAAAGATAATTCTCCCTGTACCCATCACCAGCTTTTGTTGATGTTATTGTGTTTTATAAATGTCAGCTTTTTTTAAACCCTTTTGTACTCGCTGGTGTTCGTGCAGTGATATCACGGTTAATTTAAATGAAAATGTCTTCTGAATAAATTACTGTGAATGCACTGCATTCAACAGGAACGAAATTAAGCTTAACTATCAAAACAATTTAAAAATGCTTTTCTTGTGCATTTGCTAATGAATTCCATCTTCTTGCCAAATGCACCTTAGCACAACTGAGGAAAACCCCCACATTTTATTTATCAAATGATTAACTTTCCCTTTTCTAGCAGAAAGGCAGAACTTGTGTAGATGTGTGTGAAGCCATGAAATGGTTTAAATAAATGTCTTCACACACAATGTCTGTGTGTGCTTAGCAGAACGCATCGGGCTCAGGGCAGCAATGCACGTGCTTAATTCTTGTGGGTTGGTTGTTACCCCTTAGAAAATACAACTGCAATCCCGAGGGGAAAATCCATGAGCAGAAGCTGAGGCTTCCTGTGAATCAGCTGTGCATGCCACTGCCTCTCCCTGACATGAGCAGAAACCCGGGTGTTTCACTCCTGCCTCGATTTCTTGGGTTTAATTATGCTGCCTGGAAAACGGCAGTGTTCTTGGTGGGGTTTTGCACGATATCAATAACAAAAGGAAAAACCTTAATGCTGCTTAATAGCATTTGCCTGGGAATTCAATTACTGCCCGTTGCCAAGATGTTGGCAGTGTTAATAATTGCACACGGGGCACTTCTGTAATTTGTCACCGTGATTTCTGTTAGGTGCTGCAGAGGATTCCTCCCCCCCAGCAGTGCATAAATACAAAACAGGGTAAAATAATCGAGATGGAATCAGGGTGTATGTTGTGATACTAGGGGCGGTGTACTCGGAGGAATGGGGTTAGTTTCGTGATGGAGTTTTAATTGAGGTTTGTTCTGGTGATAGAGTCCTTCCCGTGGCACATCGCTTTGCAGCTGACGAACCACCAGCTCCCTTGGTCCCTCATTACAGCTGCCGCCTCGGTGAGGTTCTTGTTCCTTCGTTAGTGTTTAGAAAGGAGAGTGAGGGAGGAGACTCTGACTTGCCAAATTAGGAACACCCAGGCAAGTCCCGCAGGCGCTTGGCTGTGAATTCCAGAGCTTCTTACGGCACTAACTTCTGTATCTGTGTTTGTGACGTTAACCTGTCAGAGGTGATTTGGGATGCCCTGGGTCTGGTTGAGGAGCGGAAGGACACAGGAAGGGCAGAGACCTGCGTGCCATTAACGCACTGAGTAAGGGAGATGGATGTACCGGAGGTTTTCCCTTAGATGGTGTCATTTAGAGGAGCACCCTTTTCCTTATCTTTTCATCACTGGGGTGCTGATTGCTGGCGGAGGTTGGAATTACCGGTTGTTGGCAACGACACATTTGTTTCCAGATGGACCTAGGTGAAATCGTATTTTAATGTGCCTGGAAGATAAGGAATAGGAATCTGCTTTAGAAAAAAAACAGCAACCGAAAAAACCTCGACCCACCAAACCCTCCACGCAAATAAATTGTTCATTTCCGAGAATCTCCGGGTGTGCTTCTGCTGCACGGCGGTCGGATGATGAGCTGAGTAACTGCTTTAAAAGCGGATGGGAGCGCTTTAGAGGAGTTTTAAGTCAGGCGTGTGCCAACCGTAATGGAAAGAGCAGAGAAGATGTAGGGGGAAAGGAGGCGGCTAAGAGGGTTTGAGTAGGTCCAGCTGGGAGCAGGCATCTGGAGCTTTGATTTGTGCTAATAGGTTGTCTGGGAAACTTGATTCTGCGTCTTCCTCAAAGTGGTGGCAGCATGGTGACCCTGAAACCAATGTGATCTTGGCCAGGCTGCTGGCCAGTTTGCTTCTCGTCATGATTAACGCTTCAGGTGCTTTTCGGGGGGGTCTTTTCTTGATTTGTGGTTTTGGGCTTTTTACATTTCTCTTGAAAGCAGAGTTTGCTTGAGAGCAGAGCTTTCAGTTGCTAACTTTTTCTTTATACTGAAATAAAGAAATACGTAAAAGCTCTCTGGGTTGTGCAGAGCAGCAGTTGCAGCTGGTCTGCAGCCTGTGCCTCGGACTTGGAGTTGCAGCGGGGTTGCCTTATGAAAGAGTTATTGCCCTCTGGGGCCCCAGAGCTCCCAGCCTGCTGGGGAGCGGGAAGGTCCCACCTTGATGCCGGCGCTTGTGCTGGACCTGGCAGGAGAACGGCACTGTCGCTGTTCCCTCTGCATCTTGCCTTGAATCAAAGCCGAGGGGACTCCAGATCTCGGTCAGAAAGCAGGCCTTACGTCGTGGAAGGGTGATGTGACTTGTGGGATTTCAGACAAAGGGTCCCACAGAGCAGGGGAGTGGGGGCTTCCTGCCGGGTGAGGCTTTATGGAAGATGCTGGGCAAATGTTAGACCTGATGGGGTTACGACATCACCTACCGGGCAGCGGTAGAAAGTAAACATATTTTTCTTATTGTTTTTGTTATTCTTAACATGCAGGCTCCTTTTAAATAGTAAAGAGTTGAGCTTTGTTTTCCTGTAGTTGTAGAGCATGGAGTACTGCTGTTCCAGCTTGGTTGTCCTTCAAAAAAATACGAGACCCCCAATTTAATATCCTTGTAGTTTTTGAAGGGAGGGAGTTTTTCCTTCCATTGCAAATGCTTTCATCCCTTTTTGCCTAAATTTAAACCTGGGGTTAATGGACTTTCTCTTGTCCCTGGCAAATGACTTTCCATTTTGACAATTCAGTAGAAATTGTGGAATAAAATACTAGGTTGTTGCAAGCGAGCCATGAAGGTGTGGGCACCGCTGAACCCGGCGCCCAGCCCCTGCGGACCAGCTCTGCTCCTGCCCTGCGCGCCCTGAGCTGCGCTGAGCCTGCCCGCGGGAGGAGGGGGGGAGCGGAGGTGAATTAGGATGCACACAAGGATTCGGTGTCACCCCATGTGCTGGGTGGGTAAAGTGTGACCAGTCCCTGCGGTCTGCTTGGGCCTGTTGGCCTTTTGTCCCTGCAGCGTGAGGCT